ATATTAATATAATAAGGTACCAAAAGCGTAAGACTTTCAAATCGCTTTTCATTATCTCTCAGTTTTCAGACAAAATATGATAACCGCGCGCCTCTGAAATTTGAAATTCTCACTAAACAAACTTGTGCAGTATTTGGTTAGTTTCGGGTTTGATTCACCAACCGGGTGCGGCTTGGAGATCTGCAGTCCCCTCTTGCACTGCGGTTTACTACAAATTGTTAGTGTTTGTGTTCACTGGAAAGGAAATATCACTTTAGGCTCTAACGGGTATCGATCATCACGTTGTGTGTCAAAGGGTGGTAGGCCTTCTATCCGTCCACCAAGTGGTCACACTTTCAACACCTGAAGCTTATAAATCAAAAGCAAGTGAAGGATGTCATGCTTTATTATACACTGTGCTCAAAAATTAAAGAACAAATCAGCTGCCACTGGAGCCTGGTTACTTTTTAATATGAGGGGAATAGAGTGAGATTGTCTGTCTGTTTTGCGCTATAAACATGACACCTGCAAGTATACAGTAACTGGGTGATAAATAAGGTGGAAAATAAATTCAAAATCATTCCAGCTTTTCTCTTATAAGTGTGGCCATACTCGACGTATATGCGCCAACTAAAGTTTTTACGAGGTTGAATGCACCACGCACAAAGAATCATAATAGTAATAGTATAATGAAGGCAATGTATTATCGTAGGTAGACTTCCGTGATCCACCTGCAATATAAAAAACATCCGCTTACAAAGACGGGTTCTGTGGTCCACAAAAATTGTCACTACTGTAGAAGTTAAGAAAAAATCCGTTGACAGTCACCACTTTCTACAAGCTAACTTGAAGGACAGCTAATTCTTTCTTTGCATCAGGTGTACATGGGCCGTGGTGAGTAGGAGCACATCTTCAGGTTAGGAAAATGTGCACTTTTGGTTGTTGGTTTACTCTATAAGCTGAGCATCTTGTTTGGAGGCGTCTCATCATCAATTAAAGTAGCATCATCAGCGCATTGTCAAGAAGTGGAGTGAAGTGTAGTAATAGGTAAATGTTTGTGTGATAACTCATCTCTACGCGTTGCTCCACTCCTTCGTACCGCACAGACAATCTCACCTCGACTGGTGGTAAAACGTATGCAATCAAATTATTTCACCCGGCAAACAAAATAATGACCATCTGTGCTACACGATCTGCCAATATTTTGCTTAATCTGTATGCATGTTTCTTACAAAAGATGTGCTGTCTTGCTGATAAACTTCTTTTACGCCAAAACACACACGTTTCGGATGGAAACCGGTCCAGAAAATCTGCCCGCATTGTTATGAACATTAGTGCAGTGTTTCTAACCTAATTGTTGTGAGTCAAATTCCGGCACGAGCAAGCACACTAATGTCGCAATCATCACGTACAAAGACAAAGATTTAAAATGTCACATCTGATATTTTTCGAGTATTCTTAAGAGGATAGTACATCAGTGCACACAAGCACACCCTATCTCTTTTTAATTTGACCGGATGATGCTGATCTTGTGTCGAATGCAATTGGCCTTTCGTGGTGATATAACGCAGCCTGAAGATTGCAATCTTAATTAGCCAAGTTTGACAGGAACTACTTGCCAGGAGGGTGGGAACGTTAAAGAGGATCCCAAAATATGAAGTGAAGTTGTGTCCTTCGCAAGATATTCCCTTCTATCGAAACTTCCTGAAGTTTTGTTCAGTCTCCAAATTTGTGTTCAGTTTTTGACCGGTGATGGTACTGATTTGACTCAGTAAGTAGTGTGCTTGTTTGTGGCTCGGAATTATCATACTATTACGAGCAGCCGGTCATAAATCCATAGTTTTATCCATCTCACTTTAGTTGGACCTTCATCCTTCTGATCAATTTATTTTTCACTTCCTTGTAAATCACACTGGTGTTAGGGATGGGTACAACTGAGTCTCTCGGTGAACCTAATCTAATTTTGCCAGCTGTGCTTGACTGAAACATAATACTGATGAAAGCTCGGGGAATATATCAACCTGGTGATTCAAAAGAAGATCAGAATGAATGCTGTCTTCAGCAACCTCGCAAGTGCTGCGTCACAACAGCTATATTTGATGACTACTTTTTAGTACCTGTATTTCACTTTCGTGTTGGAAGGCCCAAATCGAAAGAAACATAAACATATGGAGCTTAATGATCGTGTTGCCATAGTACACCATCATTGGATACGTTTCGCCTAGATATTATTAGTTTGTTTTAGATGGTTGTCGTTGTTATTCTAAAACAAACTTTTTGCGCTGAAATTTTGAGTGCCCTTACAAAAAAATGATAGTCACAGAACCTCTCTTGCACGATAAAAACGAGAAATGAAAAAGGAGATACTGAGTATAGCCGATGTTAATATCGCTAACTACTTTTAATTTTCCACCCGTTTATTTGCTTGTAGGTTAGGATACTGTCCGCAAAATACCCACGAAACTCTTTTTCCAGAAGTTTTGATAATATAGTCCTAATCAGCAAGGGGAATCAGTAATATTAACAGCCCGCAAGACAGTGAAGGGTGAGCAAATATTTTGCGTTGACCAGTGTCTTGATACGTATTCTAATATCTTCCGTTCTTATCGGAACTTTGGCGTTCAGACTGGTTCACGAGAGAGTTGTTCTACCACGTGTTGCCCTCAAACGTAATCGATCCCGGTTGCCATGGATAGTGATCATTATGGAAATGAGACAAAACACAGTCAGATTCGCCTGCTAGACGGATAATTTTTTTTGCAGACGGAACATCACGGATTTCACATTGCGCAATTTGACTCGCCAAACAACAGCCTCAGTATGTTGGAGTCGTTTTGAAGGTTTCTGGAAATGATATGAACAACAAGCCTCAAATAATGATACAATGGCCTAATGGCAAAGAATAAATGTGAACGGACCACAATGTCTGATTCAATAGAACAAGACTGTGAATGTATAACGACTACTCACACTTCGAGGTTGTCTCACCGGTTGCGCGTATGTGTCAGACTACCTGGCTAGATAGTCGGGGCATTTAATTTCAATGCCAGGCGTGGAAAACAACATACAGTCTAAATATTATTGTCATGATTTCCGTTGACTGTGTGCCAGGGGCTTGTGCTTCATTTTGCTTGTAGTGCCTGAGACAGTCGTCCGAAAATGCGACCCAATTGGGTTCATTGAACATAAATGTGTTCTACCCCAGTGGTTGGAAATAAACAGTAGTCCGGAAGGGTACGGTTAATTATTCAGTTTATTGGATCATTATTAGGCAGCATTGAGAGTCTGAATTTCCGTTTGTGCCCACGATGGAACGTAAACAAAAACAGTCGCAACAAACGAGGGACAAGTGAAGACTGAATTGGCCATTTCTACGGGCAATTCTATATCTTAGTGCACAGAACATTGAAAAAACGTTGTACGGGCAGGATTGCTTGTTGATCCAATTTGCTTGCTTTACTTTGTTTATACATGATTCACTGAGTCAAATAATTGACACCCTTTTACTATCGTCGACCATCAAGGGCCCCTAATCACCGTGCGTGACTTATCTCTGGCAGTCAGACTTACTCAGTTCTCAAGGCTATATTAATACTAGACTGTTCCAGGGATCCAGTAAGTTTGAAGCACAAACTGGGGTGACTTTTCAGAAAGCGCTCGATTAAGCCAATAGACGACATTACATTCATAAAATTTAGTGGTATGTGCGCAGTTTCATGCACCATCGACTTCAAACTTGGGTCGCATTCTTTTCTGAAATTATTGCACTATGAGTGATTTATTAGGAACAGATCAGAGAGGTTGCTTTCAACTCTACCAGTATATATTTTATGCCTTATACTGGAATCAAACAAATAAAGCTTGGCAACTAACTGGTCATCGGAAATTTCCTGATGTGGTAAAGTGTGAACTTAGGTAAATGTTCATCCACAACGGATTGCGCGTTGATACCAGTGCCGTGAATAGTGCATTGCTTATGCACATGTATCGGGATATCTGGAATATCGTACCTACTGAAACATGGGGCGGCCTGGTGCAGCACATTCAGTTGCCTGGAAATATCACAAACGAGAGATTCAGCTAGATTCTAGGTGAATCTTTCACAAAACCAAATGTGTTTGCAAATGCGTGTATTCCGCTAACTGAAGAGGTGTTCGTAGCTTTCAGGCGCTTGAAACGGAATAAGCATAGATCGATATACAGTGGATTAGTAAATTCAGAGAATCTATCCCATGGTGTGTGATTAGATGCAGTACTCGAGAATTCCTCAAATATCGTGTCAGGGGTTTATGTTTCCCAAGCATAATTGATCGAAACAAAAATCACTGACACCGAATATTATTTTCTCTTGACCCTAAAATAAGTCCTACGATGTGGATAACGTTGTGAGGACAAAACAGTTTTTCTATATGAAAATCACGGCCTGCAAGAACACAGATAGGGTTTTCTGGAGCTGACAAAATACCTCTTTTTAAATTTGAAATTACAATGTGGCTAAATGTCGCAATAACGTTTCATGCCATTAGTTGAATGTATATATATAAAAACTCAAACTTTAGCCCAAGAATCCCGCTTTTATTTGTGAATACTGTGTCAGAGAGTTGAAGATAAAATGTCCAGGGATAGTAGAGCAAAAGGCGACCAAAAGGAACGTGAGCATTTTGAAAGAGTACAAATCTTTGAAAGAATTCATAAATGCTCAAATTTAGATTACGTGCGCAATTTAATCAACTTAGGGAGGACTGAAAACTGTTCTGGAACGGTTGATCTATCAACTGTAAATAACTCATTACCATGCCGTCCACAGTGCGGCAGAAGTGGGCTAGCAGTCAAAAAATAAATGTCAAGCAGGGGAGGTAGTCAAGCAGCAAGCCATCAGTCTGGGTGAGTAAATAAGCCAAACCAAACGCTGTACTAATTTGCTTGGTCACACGTTTATTTCATTGTAAAATTGCGCACAGGAAAATTCTATACTGCTGTGATTTCTGAGTTGGCATTGAAAACTTTGTTGGCACTTTCAGAAATTTATGTGGGCTACCACTGTTTTTCTTTCTCCCAAATAGCGGACGTCCCGTTGAACCTCAACCAAGCTGTCCACGTGGGTTTTCTACAGAATGGCGTGACGCGCTCGGGACGTTTGACATACGAGTGCATACCACAACACACGGTTAGCATTTGCCGTCCCTCATGCATGAACGAAAAAAATTCACGCGAAGGTGTCGTTGGGGATAGCATACTTTGGACATTCCAGAGGACAAAAGAAAATGGATGGACCCGTATTTACGATGTAGTGATTACCGGTCGCTTGTTCCAACAACCTGTTTCTTTGGAAGACAAAGCTGGTACGTAAACTAGCGCATGGATCCAGTTTCCCGTGTGACATTCTCATTGTTTTTCGTTGCATTCTGTTGCTCTGTGTTGATCAGGATCAGGCGACACAAGTTTGCTCGATGCAAAATATTTTTGCCAATATTTTCTTCATTCTTATAAGTTAGAATGTACACTGTCAGTGCCTTTTTGAGGCATCAGATAGCATGAACACCACAAATCTAGCAGTAAAAGACAGAGAAAATAGCAGGCTGACTGATACATGTTCAAATCTCTGTAGGTCCTAAAGGCAAAATAAAATTGATGAGATTGAACGGGCAGCTAGGGTTTACGCTATTATTTACGCGTAGTTAGTTTTATTTAACCCGCCGTGTTTGACTGCAAACGATTTTTAAGCTATGTTATGATTGCTGGCGGGCAAAAACCGGACTAGTCCCCTTTTATCTACTGTGGTACTTTTCGGAAACCTTCTAGCTGATTTTTTGTCGTGTATTAAGTGTGAGTCAACTTGGTGAGCTGTTCTGAATTAGGCCATGAATGAGTGTAAGGTTGAGGATAATTTTGGACCTTTTTCCGTCATTTTGGTAAATTTGAATTTGTTATTAGAGCCGAGGGTTGCATAAAGTTTGAGCAGAAATCTATTTGGTAGTATATCCGGATTTTTAAAACCACAAGTAAGAAGGTAAGAGAGCTCTATCAGTAGTATATCATAGAAATGCGTATTTGAGTTTTGCCTTTGGTGAGCAAATATTCCAGTTTTTCGTCAAGACAAAGACATCAACACCCAGTAGTTTTATTCCAGGTTTCAAGAAAAATGTGTCCCTTCTTCAAAAGGTTTGTCTGAAAGATAACTAGTTTTTATAGCGATTCCTTAGATAAGCGTAAATTGCTTTACCACTGCTAGCATTTGAACTGTTTTTTTGCTGTCGTGGAACAGATTATATGATCATCTGAACAAATTTATTGTTTCTTCACGAAAACTTACTGTGATATCTCAAATATTGTGCCTAATAAAACACAAGGGGACGTTTATGCAGCGTATCAATCGGAGAATTTCATAACTTTTTTGCTATAATCAGCCGAGTGCGGTTGGCAAATTGCATCCAGTTCATGTGTAAGTAGTGTGTAAGTTTGGGTGGAACGTAGGGACTAGATCCACCTGGAAAGTCCTGAGGAGAGCGGAACCAGATGTGCGCTGTCGGAGGACTTTCAGCAACGTCATGAATGGTGTTCCGTCAATAAGTATAAAACTGCTTACTTTGGTGCTACGCGTCTGCCGTTTGGTCTGTGCAGCTGATTAACTCAAATTATAAGTTGACTGTAGATAAAACCGTCTTTTGGGGAAGACGTACACCGTTTTATAATAGTCTGTTCAAGGTAACTGTGCCGACTAAAGTAGTCTCAAATAAACGGCTTGATTTAATCAGCACAAACAACCAAATTCTTCAGACGGAAGACCAGTGTGACCACATTTAACAGAAAAATGACAGTGGAGTAAAATTAACACGATTTAAACTTTTCGATAAGAGCACTATTAATGACTTACCGCTCGGATCACCATCTGTGTGCATGCGTGCCAGACAAAGCGCAGCAAAAGATATTGCATTTAGCTGTCCGCATAAAATTGGCTTGAATTTGGGACATAATTAGGAGATTATCTTACAGGGACATTCAGTAAGACTGGAAATCGCTGCAACATATTTAGAATCAACAGGTCCATCAGGACGTCGCTATTTACATCATTACACATAACTTTATGAGCCCAGAATATCTAAGCCGTGCCACTCTCTGCTACGAAACCGCTGAAACTAAGTAATCCATGTTTCAGCAGCCATAAAAGGACAATCAATGATCGTCCGGCATCAATTTCTTTTCAGCCCGTAGTTGTGATGTCACCCAAAAAGATGCGAAAGCTGACATACCGCCAGGTCACCAAAGCCTGGACAGTAGCAGTCGAGAGGTTGGATTTAAACCACATACCTCAGTCCTACTACATTCTCAGTCTTACTTTATCGGTGCCTCAGTGAATTTGCTCGGAAAAGGAGCGTTACGAGACAGAATCATATCTAAAGGTTTTTTAGAAAAAGACTGATGTGCTCCAATGATGACAAGGCTGATAACAAACACGCGCAATAAGCTGAAAAGCACAGATGAACACTTTATGCAGTTGAGATGGGCGATAATAAATAAAAGCGATTCTTGGCGCTGTCAAAGAAAGCCTGACAACTGGAATACGAGAGCCAATGTACTACACATGAGTTCGCTGAAAACTTTTCGACAGTCCACGACTGGTTTCGCGCTTTTTGTGGCTCGTCAGCTAAGCGCATTCCTCGAGTTTTCGCCACTCTTAGGTTCTACTTGAACCCAAATTGGAATGATTTCGACAAATAGACTCACCTGCATGTCAATGTGGTTTTGACCGGAGACCCACCTGCAACACAGCTGAATCTGTCTTGTTTGATGTTCTTAAGATGAGTTCCAGGTGAGTCTCCCGTCAAAACCAATTGATATGCAAATGAGTGCATTTAGCTTGAATGCGAGAGATCATCAGTATATTTGGAACTATTTAAGGATAGTAAAGCAGGAGGCAGCTAAGCAAAGTATCAAATCGGAAGGGAGCCTCATTATTCATTTACTCAGGGAGCAGTTGCCTGGACGCCCCACGGCTTATCCGGGCGTGAGCAGTCAGTGCTATAACTTTAAACAACTAATGCCTGCATTAGTCAGCAAACTAAAAATTGCTTAAATCATGCTTAACCTTGGTTTCTTCAGCTGTTTCATTCGCTCGAGCTAGCCAGAAAGCGTGATTTGATAGTGTGTCTTTAAGGGAAAGGGATCTTGCGAGCTGTGTTAGCAGTCAGGCACTCTATACTTGGGGTCGTAAACTGAACAAAATGATCAGCGAGAAAAGGAGAGCGACCGTATATTTTCTGAAAAGACTAAGGAAAGTAAACAGGGCCAAGAGTTTTGCTGAATTCAATGAGTGCTTGCTCTCTGTGAATGGTGGTAGAGGAGACTACCAGAGAAACAATGGGAAAAGAAGTACTCCTGTAAAAGACACAGGCGGCAGGATCGATGGCTTCCAATTACACTTTTAGATTTCAGCGGCTGTAGTGGACCACTTTTCGCAGGGTTAGTTCGAAACGCACCACTTTCTGTCAAGAAACACTTTAGACGCCTCATCTAACGTTGCACTGAGCGCCGTCACACTTTTGACGTCAGCCTGGTACCTGGGATTGTGCGGCTGTACTCTGACCCACCGAAAAAGAACTTTAGAATTGACAAGTAGAATTTGTAAACACTCGGTAAGATTGATCCAAGTATGTGAAACATATTGAGATGAACGGATGTGCACCTTGCGAGTGGCCTGCGATAAAATTGTGGATTTGAGTTGAAAAGCAAAAGTATACTAGTGGAGGAAACCATTGCTTCCAAAACTGGTAGGTTCTCTGATAAGCATTCCCTTCCTGACTGCATTTGAAGTAGATCGTGGATATTTCGAATAACCTTTCTTCTCAAACGAGGTTATGTTGCATTCTTCTGGAGTAATCAGCCAAGTTTCTTTGAGGAACTCTGATTGGTTTACTCATGAAAGCACTATCGATTGTGAAAGCTTAGCCGTAAAGAAGCGATTAAGAGTGCTAGTTTCATTCCAGCCACCAATGCACTGAATGCAAGCTAGACTCAAGCTATTACAAGTCATAGAGGTCTCCACAAGAAATATTTCAGGCCTTTTTGGAAAATTATTGTGGACTTGCAGTAAATATATCTTATATGAGTGACAACACTCACTCTATGTTACTATAGTTAGTTCTGTGATTAACTTCTAGTAGACTCCCCCTCTTTTGCGTACTGGGATATTCTGAGCCAACCCGTCCAGCACTACTCATGTAAAAGGTTATAAAAACAAGGCTGTGAGGCCCTCAAAATTTCTCACAAGCGAATGACTATTACTTGATATCATTGTTGGCAAGCTATTCTACTGTTGATGAGGCATCTGCATGTGTCATGCCAGCTCGTGCAGTGTTTCCTAACCAGTCTGTATGGGCTCTCAGACACCACAAACTAGCCAAACTTGATTAAACTTACTTTCAACAAGAGCACATAAATGGGTTTCGACTAAAGACAACTGTGTAACACACATTAACAAGCTGGTCAAGGATTAACCTAGTGATGGTGTCTTTCCACAGAAAAGCTGGAGATGTTCCGGAACTCTTTTGGTAAGAAGCTCGATGGTAAGTGTCAACCGTGATGCAATTTATTTTCGGGTAAAAGTTTACAGAAGCCAACTGGAGCACTATTTCACAGGTACTGGATTATATGAAACTGGTTTTACCTAGTGCAGTCATATTGACAGCCAGAGGCGTTTTGGTTATAGCAGTTGAAGATCATTTTGTTTGTGCCCGAAAATCCAGACCCACTTTGAATCAAGTCGGGGGATGTGGGTCCTCCTTCGATTCTACACGGCTTTCATATGGGAGAAATCTTTGTAGAGAAAGAGCCACAAACTATAAGCATTTTGTGCATGTGCTCAAATTACCAAACTTAAATACATAAAAAATTGTAAGTTTAGCTTTGGCGGGGAAGTCTACGATGAAAGTGGGCTCAATAATAATCTGATTTTGGAGCCGTTAGCTATAATAACAACTAGCGTGGAAGATAGGTTCTTCCACTTTTAAAACAGGCATCTGGTTCTTCATAGATGAGTTCGATAGTAAATGTCGGGAGCAACTATATATATACACACCAGTCCTGCTCGCGCCGATGAATTTCATGTTTGTTTATTGTGGAACTACTGAACGTCTTCGCGAAAGTAAACGCACTCAGACCCAATATACTCAGTTAGTTTGGGAATACTAGACTAAAAATCCAACAATTAGGACGTCTATGTTCATGTGCACGTAAAAATGCGTTAAATAAGCTTCGCGTAAAGCGCAAAAACGCTTCAGACAGTGCATCATGCATGCATGTGATAAAAACAACCATTGGACATGGACTGTTGATGAGCCCTAATAAGAGCGAAACTCGAGTCCAGTGCGTGGTGCACTCACCGTGGTGTGGACTCACCGGAAAAATTACGCCAGAACAGGAACACGGCGTTTCAAACGAGAGTGGTGTGGCTATGAACAAAATACTTACCCCCCGCAAAACCCCAAAATTGCAACCGAAAATCTGTCCAGTGGGGTTTCAAGTGTGTGTCACGCTACCTGGATGGCAGGTCCTGACTGGCGGGTCAATCGATAATCACAACCGGGACAGTTACTGGGTCCTCGTTCGATGACTCGGGCACACCAATCACATCGCTCAAGTGTGAACACGTTCGCCTGTTCAGACGTGATAATTCAGATGCGTTCAACGTGCGTTGATGGAGTAGTGGTTACACGCTCGCCTCGCATGTCAGATGTCCGGGGTTCGAATCCCGCCATGGCCATTGAATATGCACTGCTGATGAGCTCTAATAAGAGTGAAACTCGAGTACAGTGCTTCCCTTTGGTGTGGACCCACCGGAATAATTACGCCAGAACAGGAAAACGGCCGTTCCAACGAGAGTGGTGTGGCTATGAACAATGTAAAATACTTTGCCCAACATAGCTGTTGTGATGAGTTCCGCAACGGACCGAGCTGCGTCTAACGCTTCCTTAACTACGTACCAGCCTGGGTTGTTCTGCACACGTGCTCAAGAGTGTGTATATTAGCATGGATGCCTATTTGACAAATGCAGATATTTGGCAGATTTTTCATTTACTGGAGCTTTACTGATTACGTACGAGAATTTAGTCAGAAGGTTACAGTTCTGACTGAACCACAAGTAAGCGCAAGGATTACTATGCACTTTGACGCAACCGGCTTATGATTTTTCTTCAACAATTACGTCAGAAATAGATTGCATGTATCCTAATGCGTTCCAAAAAATCCGGCTGGCAAGAAACAGCCAGAGTTATCTGTTTCAGTCACTCTGTATGCGTAAAAGCTCTCGATTAGCTTTTGGTTTGACTTTGAATATCAGAAAACCAAATGGATGCTAGTGGGTAGGTCTTTATTCACTTGATTGTTTCACACATCAGGAATACCAGAATTTCGTACCAAAAGCATCTTGGTGGTGCACTGGCAACTCCATGCACCAGAGAAGCCACACAAGTTGTTGACAGCTGACAGGCGGAGGAATTATTTTTTTCTTTAGGTGAATCATCTAATCCTCTCAAAGTCAACATTGCACTGCATGGAAATATGTGAAATTGTTCGTTGCTGCAATGATCCCTAGACAAGTCGCTTTAAACAACGGGCAGGTTTCGGAAATCTGAGATTCAGTCACATATGCACTGATTATTTAATCTTTGAAGTCAGGTCATGTTCGGGTATTCGTTTATTCCTTAGGGATCTAAAAACTAATGAAATTCTTGGACGAGTTTTTTTTGATGTGATGCGAAAATGCCAATATGTCACATCATTCCATTTGTTAGCCTGTTACAGTGGCGATACCGAATAGTTCGGATTCCATTCAAAAGTTTCTAATCCAGGAAGCAGGAAATGAAATTTAGAAGTAATCTGGAGTTTCATTTATTCGCTGGACCGATTTTTGGTGGTCTCTGTGATGCCCAGAAAATGCAAACTCATTCCATTGGCTTTGTAGGTCCCATGGCTTACTTCAAATCTTAATAGAAATTGAAAACAATAACACTGTGCAGATTGTATATACACATATCACATGTATTTTTCATTAGAATCAAGTGACCTCTCTGAAATTTCGATCTAGGGGATACTCAAAGAAACAAAAACGAAAAAATCTAGCATGGGCTACACTTGGGTGGTCCTATTGAAAGACGTTTGAATCTTTATAAATACTTGATTTTTTTATCTTCTATCATTCTTTCGTCACAAATTTAAAGAGAATAACGTCTAAGTTCCTGAAACGAATCTATTTTCTCCTAGCTCCAAAGACAAATCTTTATAAAACAGCTTGTCAGGATTATTCACTGTCTGTGATTACACTCTTATCTTCAGAAAGCCTTAGACTTTTTCCACCAAAATCTGAGTGATAAAGCGGCAGTTTCAACCGGGGTGTGCCTAGAAGTCTCTCAAAACACTAAGGCACCGATTGGGCAACAGTTTTTTCACATTGATTGCTGAAGTCGATGCGTTCAGTCCTATCTTTAGAGTGTGATCAATAGTGAACATTATCAGATTGCCAAAATTCTCCTCGTAACTTAATTTCACAATGTGCACTGTGTATACTTAATTATGCACAGTACTTCTACCAAAATTGTTCCATTTCAAGGACTCTAGTTGCCTAACCCCCGATCACATCATCGCTTTATGCGTGCTACCCGATTAGAAAGATCCATTGAGTGATCATACCCGTCTGTGCTGCTATGGTAACAATTGGTCACGGTTACAGACACATCCGGTATTAACAAAATAGAAGAAACAAACCATTGTTCATTCTAAATATGGCTTCGTTTGTCAGAAAAAGAAGAATAATCTGTTAATGTTGTTCTCCAACAGTCCTGGTGGACGCTGTGTCCTTACTGCAAATTCTGGGTAAGAAATTCCCTAACGTGCATCAGATTCTGTAGGCTTATTGTTGATGAACCCACCATGCACACATTAAGCGAAGCCTGTATACACGTTAAAGCGTGTGACCGGAAGTGTCTCCGAGATGTTGAACGGAAAGGCTGGAGTAGATGAATCACAAAAGCTGTGTGGTGTGCGAAACTAATAACCACTTCATTCGTGAACACTTTCAAGACCAGTCAAACTCTCACTCGACTGTTAATCAGTGAGATAGATTAAAGCTTTCACCACGAACGGGGATATCATTTTACTGGAAAACGTCGCTTATCATTTTCAGTGTCAGTGTTGTAACCTATGGTGTGATGACCAACGGCTTCGCACAAGTAGGCTGGCTTAAAAAGAAGTTGATTGTGACAGTTTTATGGTGTGCACATATCATCACAGCTTTAGGTTGGAAAGCATCGAAATTTGGTTAAACATGCCATAACATTCATTATGATTCCAAACTACATACGCAAGAAGTTCGTGCTTTTATGCTGAAGATATCGAACAAACAATTATAGAGGTTTCTATACGTATGCCGAGTTTCCAAAAAATAATCAGTGAAAATCTGCTGGCTCCCATTGCGTTTTCGACCGGCTTGATTTTTTATCAGATGGTTTGAACTGGACGGGAAGAAAGGTTAGTTGTGAGACACTAGTTTTAACTAACTATTTGAAACCAACTAAATGTCGGTTACTCTTTCGGCAGCTTTGCTGTCGTTTTTTTCAGAAAATGTCAAGAAAACGTGCGCTAAATAGCCAGATTTACATGGATGAAATACCTGTTTTTAACTTCTACTAGCGTCCTGGATGTTTGGCATACCTACACGTTTAAAAAGTATTATTAACCAAAAGTATCGTTACTCTGGAGGATCTTTGGTAACCAAGATGTTCGTATATTGTAGGTCGGCTGTAAGTATCCCAGTTTTCAGGTCAGTATGATTATCTTAGAAGAGATCAATAAGCTAACCAGACCTGTTTCCATCCATCTTTCTCCTATATGTCCGAGACTGACACATTATCAGATATGGATTGCATCCTGTAAGTAATATTGACTTTTACTGACAGGCCTTAGAATCATTGTGACCAGGTCTCTCGGCAACTCACACTCTCATCCAAGGAATCACGGTGATTCGTATTTGTCATGTGCAGATGTAAGACCAATGTTTTTGCAGCACCGTAGTAAATGAATGAAACCGTTATGCAGAGGGACAGGAGAAGGATTTTGCTTCAGCCACCTCGTGGAGACTAGGTGGGACAAAACACAGTCGGGTGGCTTTCCGGAAAAACCACATCTCCCTTTCTAGTCAACATTTTTATGTCCAAGGCACAAGTGTTTGTTATTATCGGCTTCTCTAGAAGTACCGTAAAATGAACAGAAATCCTAACTGACTGACCATCTTTTGCTTAAAAGGTGTGGTAAATCTGTGTTGTTCGTGCTAGAAATTATCATTGGTGCCTGTATCTCCTGGGAGATCTGTGAGACAATCTTCCAGTTTGATGACGGAGTATTAGGGCATTCATCCGAAAGGTCACGAACTAACCCACAAAGTAGGGCAGTTGTCTGTTCGTTACACACTTGGCGAATTAGCAGGTGTACGTAGGGTGTTTGGCAATGGTTTTACTTCGTGCCCGTTGGTTTACTAGAACTTTAACCACAGAATTTAGTATCTGGTAATCAAACTTGTGTGAGCTTTATTCCGCAAACTCCGAAGTCTCTTTGTGGTTACCCGAATTAGGTCGAAATAAATGCTGGCGAAGTGTTAGTTCCAGTTCTTCTCTGACCGCAAGGCAGAAGTCAAAACCTTAGAGGGTGCACAGTTCATCAGTGTTCAATAAACAGTCTTGCATGGATTGCACAGAAGCAAAGGATTTCAAAAGTCAGTACACCAGATTTGCAGCGTTGTGGATTGTTGTTTGTGACTGGATCCTTCTCCGTTGCTGTCAAAAATGTGTCAGGCTGGCATGAACCTTTTGGACATGATGCAGTGCAACAGTGGGCTACGGTGGCAGTGGTGGATGTAGGGTTCATCGCAGCAAAAGGTTGCCTCAACAGCACCCGAAATATCAAATGTCAATCGGAAGTTGAGATTGGTGGCTATCGATGAGGAGTTCAACATTCGTGAGTAAACACTGTTCACAGTGGGACAGTACATGCAGGGTTTTACACCAAAATATCCACTGATATTATCCGTGACAGAAAGGGTAAATATTCTATGTATATCTCAGTGCTAAACAGAAATTTGAACAGCGTGAATTTGCTGTGCAAGGTGTTTCATAAATGAATATGCAGCAAAGATTGTCTCACCTGCGCCTCTGTTGAAGACACTGGTGCTGATACTGCCCATTAGGTTGAAGAGAATTTGATTCCAAGTGGAGAAGGAACTAACTACCGTGTGTGCTGATTTTTGGGGACTTGACAACCCCTTCACAGGTTTCTTGGTTGACACATGAGCTAAGGCTTTACATAAAGCCGTACTGATCAACAGGAGCCAACTAAATCATTAGATATATTCCACACCAAGTGTTGTGATTTGATTGTGTTTGATATGTAGTATTTGGATAGACTTATCAGAATAACCCACGTTTCTATACTGTCCCTGTCATTCACATCTACCGAAATGAATTTGTCATTGCTTTCAAGAAGAGTAATGAAAAACGTGTTTTAACGAACATCTTGTGCAGAGGACGAGCGAATAAAATATTGTTAATTTTTTTCTGCTGCACCGTAATTCAACCCTCGTCTTTCCCCAATACAGGGAGTGGTGATGCAGTGAAGATCCAAAAAAGGTAATGTTGATTGGGTTATCGTTTGATTGATTGTAGTACCGAATATCAAGAGCTATAGTCCGATTTGAAAAATACCAATGAAGGAGTGACCAATAGGAGCATTCATCTGGAATCAGATGTTGTTGTTACTGCTCGAAAGTTAGAAATTCAAGTAGCACAATACAACTACTGTTCTGTACAGGTGAGTTATTTAACTTTAAGCTGGCCAGAGAAGACTATCGTCGGATAGAGTACACTTAGGCTACATCTCATGACGCTTTGACTCAACTCAGAACTAACTCGGAAAAAATTAATTACCCCTGCGCTTGCTTTGGACGAATTCATTAACTTGCTCCATGCCCATAGTAAGTATAATTTTCTCGTCGCGTTTTATCCATTGTGACACGCTGTCCAGTTGCGCTCATCGATTCAACCTGGATTCAGACCATTCTCGTCATCGAGGACTGGCATAGCAACGGAGGACGTAATTTCCTCCCTGTCTGGTTGCCTACGCCCACACTGCTAATCGATTCGATGTTGGTTACTCTCTCTAGTCAACGTATATGCCGAATCGCGGTTGGTGTCCGATTAGTGCGAAATGTCCTAAAACGATGGAAAGATGCAACTAGTTTATCCACGTACCATTGAAAATAACTTAAACGGTGATAAATAGTACGACCAACCTGGACAAAGACAACTTATCGAATTTTACCGACCGAATTTTCTTTGGTAACTTGCTTTTCGGCTAGTTCCGCGTGTGCTATTCAGAACATAAACGATATTATTATTATTTGTATTAGAAGTTTTGCGACAGGTGCGATATATGGCTTAGTTGTTGAGCCTCAGGATGAGCAAATCAAAGCTAAGCTCCAAAGGAGATCCGATGACTGTTCATTCAGTCAGTCTTGCGAGGAACTTCCCTTCAAAGAAAGGCTGCCCTTCTTCGGAATCACTGCACAACCTTTCAGTATAGAAGTCACTATCTGGGGCAGATAAGCTGAGATAACCGCACCCAAATTTCTGACATTATCCATGGATTTTCATAACGGAAATTCACTTTAAGTTCACGTTACAGTCACTTTATATGCAATTATGTATGACGGCAAGGAAACTATATCCATTTAATTAGCTCTTACTCAAGTAGATGTTGCCTAATTAACTGGGTACTCACTTTCGGGTAGAGAACTGTTTTTACTTTCTTAAATGTACTCGGAATTACTTTGCAAAGAGCTGGATCGTGTAACTAAATCAGGAAAGTCTTTTACAAATCCAAGTTACCAGCTTCTAACTAGAAATCATGCTTCATTTGACCCCGCTGCAGGTCACGAAACACAGTTCACTCCAAACTTAGATGATAAGCATTCTTTCTGGGGCGTTTGTCTTGATCCAGCTGTTCACGCGTAACCATTTCTTTCAATTCCAAACTGATTTAGTGCTGGCTTTAAAAAGTTGCCATAAATCTACAAGGGAACTCCAGCTTAGCGTCAAATGTTTCATTTTGTCGTCCTTAGTGGAAGGCAAAATGCGGAAACGTTTGCAAAAAGCTTTTAGTGTGTGGGATGAGGTAATCAATAAATAATGGTTTTGTGCCATAAAACAAACCAGAGGAGTTCCTTTCTGGTGCTTTCCAAAAAACCACAAAGTTCCTACACTGTACTTTAAGCAAGTCAGCGTTTTAGATAGGTTAAACTTAGCTGCTTCGCGCATGCCTGAATAACTTATTTTTTAGAAACATGCTTGTACGTGCTTGTTTTCGCGCGCACTTTTAGCCGCGCTTCTAGTTGAGAAATTGTTGACTCGAGGACAAACTTACAAATTCGCCCTAGGAACAGCTAAGACTACGGACAAACATGTAGCCTCCATAAATAGCATTATTTATATCAAAGACGAATGGACTGCCGAGCTTTATCCTGATAATTGAGGGGTTCGCCCCCTCACTCAACAACTGAAACAAGCAGTACTTAAACAAAAGCATATCTCAAAAAAAAGAATCCTATGCAATAAACGATCAGACTGGTACAGGTCATTGAGCTGAAACCTATCGTTCAGGTCTTGCAGCAAGCAGTTAGCCAGCCGGAAGGTATTGGCCTTAGTTAGAGAAGCAATTTTAAACTCCGGTTGCTGTGCTTAGTGAATTTATGTTTATTTGTCCATTTTAAGAAAGTTCATAACTGGGAAGTTTACTCAGGCAAAGGCACATGTTTATTTTTTGTGCATTCTTTTGATTTCGATCTGTGGTTACAAAGATAGAGTATCCTTAAAACATTGTATCCACCAGATATGTGAAGCGTTCCGCTGCAAGCAAAAAAGAAAACGAAAGTGGTAACCTAGATGGCAATGCGCCACATTCCATGCACCAGCGATTGGCGGGTGAATTTGTGACCAGTCCACATATTTATATCATTTTGAATATGTACAAAAGGTTTGGTTCGCAATTTATTCGAAATAGTGTCAACAGCATTTGGAAGTAGCGTTTATTGTTTAGGTTAACTTTGTCAGTTAACAGTTGTGTAACCCTCTGGGTGTCTTCAGGACAAACAAGTCTTCAAAGAAGCTGATGTTATATGATATAAAATAGGTGGCAGCAATTATTAATCAAGCTTAGATTCACGACACTTTTTACTCTGCCATTCCGTTGAATTCTGAATATCATTCAGCCTCACGCATACAGTTCAGTAGATCGTATTTTACATGTTCCGATCAGCAAACATTCCACCTGTTCAGAGAGTGTTCCAGAGTTTTATAAGTAACAGCGCGACGCAGTTGCACGTCGTTAGAAAAAGCATATATAATCTACAGGATTCAACAACAAGAAAACAGATTTTTACGCTAAGATGTGTGACATTTCTGTAGCTTTCTTTTATCCCGGTTAAAGGAGGTTTTCAGTGTCTAACTTTTATGGCCGTCAAAGTCAAGATCGTATCAAAGGAAATTCACGCCAGGCTTAGACTTAAATTGCCTGCTTAATTCCAAATTGCAAGTCAAATTACGCAAGTAAATCTTGCTCAGTTATCAGTTTCACGCTGCAGAACCACTCACGTTTTACACGCTCAAGTTTGCTTTCTAGAGAGCCAAAACCTAGCTAGCTGAATTTTTATTAGGCATTGAAGAAATCCCAACCGATTGCGTGAGAGGTGCTACACATATGTTACAATTGTTATATTATTATATTATAAACATTATATACAATTTTATGTATATATTGTACAAAGGATGCAGTACACAAATTTCAGTAGCAATGATTTTTGGTATCTGGTTTGCCCTTGAAATACTTCTTTGGAGTTTTTAATTTTCGCAGCACAACTTAAAGGGCAACCACTCGTGTCAAATATTATTCTTAGATGGCCAAACTTAGCCTTTCGGAAGTCAGTTTTTGTAGTCGGATTTGTAATGATTCAAGTCCTTATAGCATAGTTTTATATTTCTAAATGCACGCCTTGATAGAATTACATACTAAATTTATGGTAAATCGGTGTGTAAAATATAGTCAGATAGCACTGTTCATTTAGGCTCATATCTAGCTTCTTGCCATAATTTCTGCTTACGTCAATTTTGTCCACTTTCTACTCAAAATGTTTACCAGGTTGGTTCGTCCAAATTTGGCGTTTCTGACAAATTTGCCTTCCTTGCTTTATTTTTTTTGGACGCCAAAGTGATCGTTGGATTATCGAGCAACAGGCTTTATGTAATTGATCGCTGTTGGTTTTTTTGGTGTCAGCCGGTCGCAAGAGACTGCTTGTGGTTTGTCAGCTACGCCCGAGTAGTTAGAGAGCCTTTAAATTCGGTTATGCTCAAAGAAAACTTTTGCATAAATTTGCTTAGGGAAATGCTAACATGCCTGAAACTAAAGAAAGGTTTTAATGAACCCCGATCAAAGTCGTGTATCCTTACATAATTATGCATAATTATGCTGCATAAACCGAAGGGAGTATCTTAAGGAATCGCTAAAATGTATAGGACCACACGTACAAAACCGTTTGCCATTTACATCATATCGAGCTGGTTGTGGAAACAGTCATCACTCTGTCAACCCTCTTCTGCGGATTTGAACAAAGTGACATGGAGCCACTGGTGAAGTGAACAGACTTAATGTCATTTTGATTTAACATGTCAGAATACCATAGATAGCGTACCTATGGGACTTGTGCTCGAATCTAATTTATTCTTGCAAATCATTTTCTCTTCTGAACGTGTTGCATCAGCTTCTATCCTGCAGTCAACTGGAAAAGCACCCTGCATTCTTAATCACACATTCCATTTGAAAAACACACAGAAGCCATGAGTTTCACGAAAATTGCCCACCTGGGGCGAGATGGCCCAAGTGGTTAGAGCGCGAATTTACTGACCGAAAAGTCCGTGGTTCGAATGCGACCTCCGCTACTCGACTTTCCCTGTCTAGGCTTGGGGAACCTGGCAGTATCCTAGCCCTCGTGCTTCCTTCGGGTGGCATGGCAGCTAGGCACCGGAAGGATGCTACAGCTGAACGCTTTCTCTTTTTTCTGAAGAGCCATCCTTTTTTGTAAAGCGCATTCATTTTGTTACATTATAATTACTCCTCATTCCGTCAACATCTAAGCGACTACCTCTTGGTATGTTACGATTCATGCTGTCCACTTAAAACCGTTCATATCTAAGCGGACAGGTCGTTCTCATACAGGGGTCATTAGAGTGAAAATATGGGGGATTATTTTAACTGGTGAAGCAGACGATCAGTCTTCTTCATGTCCAGAAGATGCTCACACAATAGGGTAAAATGCACGGTAAAAGACGTAGGATAATTGCTCAATGGATAATGGTACAGTTAATAAACGGATTATCGAGCAACAGGCTTTATGTAATTGATCGCTGTTGGTTTTTTTGGTGTCAGCCGGTCGCAAGAGACTGCTTGTGGTTTGTCAGCTACGCCCGAGTAGTTAGAGAGCCTTTAAATTCGGTTATGCTCAAAGAAAACTTTTGCATAAATTTGCTTAGGGAAATGCTAACATGCCTGAAACTAAAGAAAGGTTTTAATGAACCCCGATCAAAGTCGTGTATCCTTACATAATTATGCATAATTATGCTGCATAAACCGAAGGGAGTATCTTAAGGAATCGCTAAAATGTATAGGACCACACGTACAAAACCGTTTGCCATTTACATCATATCGAGCTGGTTGTGGAAACAGTCATCACTCTGTCAACCCTCTTCTGCGGATTTGAACAAAGTGACATGGAGCCACTGGTGAAGTGAACAGACTTAATGTCATTTTGATTTAACATGTCAGAATACCATAGATAGCGTACCTATGGGACTTGTGCTCGAATCTAATTTATTCTTGCAAATCATTTTCTCTTCTGAACGTGTTGCATCAGCTTCTATCCTGCAGTCAACTGGAAAAGCACCCTGCATTCTTAATCACACATTCCATTTGAAAAACACACAGAAGCCATGAGTTTCACGAAAATTGCCCACCTGGGGCGAGATGGCCCAAGTGGTTAGAGCGCGAATTTACTGACCGAAAAGTCCGTGGTTCGAATGCGACCTCCGCTACTCGACTTTCCCTGTCTAGGCTTGGGGAACCTGGCAGTATCCTAGCCCTCGTGCTTCCTTCGGGTGGCATGGCAGCTAGGCACCGGAAGGGTGCTACAGCTGAACGCTTTCTCTTTTTTCTGAAGAGCCATCCTTTTTTGTAAAGCGCATTCATTTTGTCACATTATAATTACTCCTCATTCCGTCAACATCTAAGCGACTACCTCTTGGTATGTTACGATTCATGCTGTCCACTTAAAACCGTTCATATCTAAGCGGACAGGTCGTTCTCATACAGGGGTCATTAGAGTGAAAATATGGGGGATTATTTTAACTGGTGAAGCAGACGATCAGTCTTCTTCATGTCCAGAAGATGCTCACACAATAGGGTAAAATGCACGGTAAAAGACGTAGGATAATTGCTCAATGGATAATGGTACAGTTAATAAACATAAACTAATTTCAGTCTTACTGATAAAGGAAACTAGTTCCCTTTACCTATCGACCCGGGTCACTTTGGTTGCTTAGATAAAACGCGTAAACTGGTGCTTAAACTAGTCCCAACAAGGCATGTAGTCATGACTATCTACTCCCCATTGTACGAAGAAGTTGCCCAGTAACGCTCCGAATTACCTTTACGTCTATATCACAAAGGAGTGCCTGAGCCCTGAAAATCAGCTCGCATATTCTACGTGTTAGAAACCTTGAATTGAATTCCCATTTGGAAGTTCTGGGCTTGCCATTGTCCCACAGTCGATTTTATCGTTTCCGAGCCTTTTTGATGCATAAAATGGTTCATTCCAAATCGTATAGCCTGAATTTATTCATTTCTTGCACGGTACATTTTCCAAAGAATTTTTTGGAACATTTAAAATCATGCTCAGTATTTTATCCCAGTGTGTACATCAACTTTCAGTGGTAAGATTGTGCTCTATTCCGCTTAATCGTTGCTAGATTATGACGACGCATTGATTCATCGTAGTGAGTAACTTTTTCATCGACCGTTTAGGTTGCATTAACCCTTTTGCGGTAGAGTCATGCGCATCCATTAAGTTAAAATTGGAGTTCTTTGAACTGAGTTTTCCCGGGCGCGCAAATCTGTTGTTAATTCGGTTTGTCAAGCAGCACGTTCTAGTCTTACTGTCAAATAGAATGAACCGTCTACCTGAATCTAGTGTTTGAAATTCTTGTCCATATTGTGATTTTATTGGGTGTCAATGGTCAGGCTACGAGGTGCCTAGTGTCTCCAATAAAAAATTGTTTGTGTATAACGACGACCATGGTTTGTGTTATCGTCGCGTGAATATAAAGGAATGGGTCGGCGAAATTGTACCGGACGTTTAGTTGACGTTGTCTCGTGCACAGTTCAAGCCTCCGCATTGAACTATCATAAACTAACGGGAATCTGTTCCGAGGACAGGATGCAAATGTTCTGCATAAACCAATAAAAAACATCACTTCAATATAGGGTAGAAAAATATCTTTTATAGGGAGATCTCGCAGAAGTTATGATGCCGATCTCTTTACAGGAGCCTGGGCCTGCGTTCTGAAGACTTAGAACCGCTGTAAGCCGCGTTGTGTAAACCACAATCCTGAGGCTATAACAGAAACATGACAGCCACGGAAGGTGTGAAACGCTCACTACAAACTCACATGAGAATGAAATCCTCATACTAATCGTCTACTGCGTAATTATTTAGTTCCGGGATCTGATTTATTAACTTACCGTATTGTGCGTCGCTCAAAATATTTGCTGATTTTGCTGAGGAACGTCCAAATACTGTGAAAATAATCTATTTATTCGTAACGTACACTTATTTACACAATAATCTGGCTTTTACGTGAGACTCGATTGAATTCCGGCTTAATCTCTCGGCTATGAATTTTTAATAGGAATTCGATGCACAAGGGCCACATAACGTTCCAGCTCAATATTCAAGAATTCGGAGAATATTTTCCTGAATGAAACTACTCACAAGGTGACTGAAAAATATCGATTACTGTGGAATAATTTCCAAAAATCTTTTGAGTATTTTTGTTCAATCTCATTATGTTCCTGCAGCCAGGTGTTTCAATAAGCATCATGATGAGCAAAATAACACTGTTTATGACCCATAAACCACACGAATAAGTTAGGAGGGTACCTTTAGTTTAGTCGGGTACGGCCTAAGGATGGCCAAATTCGAAGCACCTCAGATTACCTATGTACATCTTTGTATTGAGATTATCGCCTTCCAAAAATAAAACCCAGGTTATTTATAGGATGACTTTTGTTCGAAGGTGTTCAACTACGGTTTTGAACAAATTTGACCTCATGTTGAGCTCCATATTGTGACCGGCCGTGATGAACACAGTTTGTAAATTTGGATTCTGTTTGAGTGACTTACTAATGCAACTGAAGTTCTGCGTAAAAAATATCGGTTATTCCTAATAAAAGTCAATGCATTTCACTATTTTTGAAGCGCCACTGTCCTTTTTGTTGCACAGCGTTTTTCTTGGCGAACTGTATGGAGTAGGAGCCATCTTGCCCTCGCTTGAAAATGAGGACGGATATTCTACAATGGAGCTGAATTTCTGCAGCTGTCACCAATTAACACAGAATATATTGGCCAAACTTAAATAACTGTATTTGCTTTGTTCTACAAATCATGCGAAGCATGATTTAGCTCCCATTTCCGTAATTGCTGCTGGTTTTACTCAGCGAATATTAAGGTATTACACATTCTCCGCCTCTATCATACACGTCATATTTTGTTAAATTGTCTTCTATTTTTTGCTAACAGTTGAGAACACTCATATTCTTCGATCCGAGCGGTGCAGTGACGTAATTCAGCTGAGTCCTTCGTACAACGATTTTTGGTATCTTTTGCGGCCTCGAAACAACAGTTAATCTCCGGCCAAATCAGCCTAGCGTAATTTCTTTCTGTGATGCTAGGCAAATGAGCTTATTCCAGCGTCGTCTGGGGGATTATCTTCAATAACATTTCTAAACGCTAGTCGATTGCTGACGCTGATATTCAGTGCAATATACTTAACAATGGTAAACAAAAAGTCTAATATCTGATGACAGTTTGAGGGTCTATATTTATTCATGTCCTGTTCTACGCCGTATTTACATCTCTGGGGATCAGTGCGCTCATTTGCGCGTACACCTGGAGCACCCGCACTCATATCAGTTCAGTTGACCCACTACGGTTTGCATTGCAGTCTGCTATTTTGTCAAAAATACACAGTTTATGCTTTTTGGCCAAAGCGATTTAGTTCTGGATGCACGAGAGTGACAGAAGAGGATCGCAGTACAATGTACTCTTGTAGGCGGAAATACCGGAATTGAAATGGCGAGAATGTGACGCAAAAAACACCGTGATACAGTTCTAAAAAACATCTACGGTAAAAAACGTGTTCGTTGCTACACACTGATTGATGGGACTTGGTTCTTGAAATTGAGGTACGCAAGTGTGCACTTCACCAGTACTAAGTATATTTCCAACAGAAAATGTAGGGGAACATTTGTGCACGACAAAATTAGCTAGCTAATCATTGCCAAGCAGTGCGTTAAGTCCGTTTCTTAGAACACCTACTGCGGTTAACAAGGTTCGATTTTACGGGCTAAGTATGTGATCAATTGTCCATATTTATGTGAAACCCAGAGATCAGCCTTATTATTGATCTGTGCTCCATGTATTGTGCGGAACATTCTACATTTTAGCACTCGTATGTAGGACTTTTGAATTTGCAACCGTGGCAGCTGCGCAGCCGCACTCACTTATTGTGAAGAACAAAATCCTCACGGAACTTCCTTTCTTGAGGTATATTACGTAGCGTTACATAGGTAAGCCAGCTTTTGTTCTCCCGCTTACCATAAGCAGCGCATTCACTCTGGTTTTTCGCACTTATACCCAGTAACATGAAATCCAAACCCTAACTGACTCCGATCACCTCCGAATCTTTTCTCTGTCTATTACTTCCATTTGCAAGTTCAGTGCAGTGAAAAATGTTTGAGGTTCTGATTGATTTGATTTACTGATATTAGCTGCTGTGTGGTTGTTTTGAGTACGCTTAGCAGGAGTGTATTTTGGGTCTAGGTTGTAACAATTTGCGAATAACTTGTCCTGGATGTTGCTGGTACCACGGTGGTTTTGAGGAATAACCTACTTTGGCTCTGCTATGAAGTAAATTTCCTGTGCAAAATATTTCCTTGATTTCTACTGTTTCCGTTATGTGAATTTTCAGTCGGCTTTTTACGGCTCGATGGTTAATCGATCATGCGGTGCCGAGAACTTAATTGGTTCCGCAGATTTGAAACTTTATTCACCTAAGCACTATGCCTGAAAGTCTGCGAATCCTAATAAAACAACACACCTTGCATGAACTTAATATATAAAACATTGAGATTCTACACGTTTTATTTCTACACCAGCTGACATCACATACCTGAAGCCCTACTTCAACCGAGCTCTTGGAGTCGACTACGAAAGAGAACAATGTGCTGAACCTGTTTGGAAGCTAACGGATTCATCCGAAGCCAATTCTCAGATGCCTCCTGTATCGAAATTCCACCGAAATGTTACCGTTTATTTCGATCAGTCATATTCGATTGCCAAGGTGTCCTTGATAGCATCAGAAATGGACAATGGGAATGAAGAATGTGGTGAGTTGTGTTTACTTTCACGTTTCAGTAGGCTTCATAGTATTCTCGACATACATATATGCTATCTGCGTAGGGGAGTACAATTTATTCTAGATACGTTTTGCCGATCATTGTGAATTTCACCACTTTATACTAGGGCGAGCGGTAATTACCCATCCACTGACATACATATGTCGAAAGGATCAACCAACTTAAAGCCATTGAGAAAAGTTTCGTTTCAATTTAGCTAGATTTTCTCAGCCGAGGTTTGCACACTTCAAAAGATACAAGAATTAACTGGCAAATTATGGAAGGTGCTACCATTTCCCTGTTCAAATCAATTCGATACGCATACCACTCCAGCCACATAAGAGCGTAAGTGAGAAGAAGAGTGAGAAGAATTTCTGCATTGGGTAAATAGCAATCGTGGTAAGTTAACTGATGGGCTGGTATAACTCCTGTAACCAGCTAATTTTGGAAAACCTGACTGCTTTAGGATATAATCTTGGTATAAATAAGGTATCACTGTTTACCCGATAGTTAGCAAGTAATAAGCCGTCGGTACTATTCAATCGGTTGTGCTATACCTTTAGGGAAATTTCTCAAGCACTCCTTGATATATGCTTCGTTTATGGGGAGCTTCATCCATCATGTTTTCCCCAAAAAACTGGTCGTGGCCAGCACTTACGCGCTGATGGGTTATTTGATACGCGGCACAACTTTTCACACCATGCCAGAACATTTTTCATCTTAAGCCGTCTCCACTATATGTTGGGATTCTTCTGTAAATTCATATCCTCGGACGTCACGTAGATAACATCTTCATCAGCAACCTCTCCCAGTGGAGTTGGGGCTTATAGTACTATACCGATTTGCAGAAAACTAACTTTCCAAAGCGATCGTTTCTTGGGTAGGCTGCTTTGGCAGGAACAATTCTTCATCAGCATCCAGTCCACTTTATCTACCTCGGACTATTTAGTATAAGTACTTCTGTTTAACAACTACAGCTCCTCTAATAATACTATATTGTTTCCGAGAGACAACCTTGTGATGTCAATCAAAAGTATTTGTTTTCCGAGGGGTTAGTTCCAGCTGGCACCTTCTGAGGTGTGCACGTTCTAGGAGATGGTCTATTTTACCGCCGTTATGGCCAAGATTATCTTTACCTCAGGAAGTAAATTAGCGGTTTTAGAGAGAATTTAGATCAACTTTACAATTCACTTTATCTCTCCTTAGTGGCATTGATAAGAATTGCATGGCACGTAGGAGTAAGTTGAATGTAGCAAAGCTGTTCTGCACTTTTATTCCTATTCAATTCACTGAAACAAGTTAGGTTTCAGGTTAAAAGTACTGTATTTGTCGTCAAATAATTCTCCAGGATACCCACCGATTATTCACAGGTCCATGCCCACTACGATTCTACTGTGTCTCGTTCTGTTGAGTCATTTGTGCTTCGACATGTCACTGAGTGGGCACGAACAAATGAATGTTTCCAACTATCATTGACGATTACGAGGTAATATGGTCTTTATGAGTCACGTCTTGGCTGATTCATCATAGATTTGCCACGCCGAGATTCACATGACTCGAAACAAAGTAGCATAATTTAGTCCGGACAGACAAATCCCACCAGTGGAGAGCTTCGGCGGGTAAATTGCACATAGAAAAGTCCATAGGAAGGATCTGAGGATAATGTTCTCCTTGGGCGAGAATTCGGAGCGTTCCATCAGTCACAATTGTCGATGAAATATTCATTCTTTCTACTTTCACATAGATCAGTCTTGGTTCAAATATACTGCAGAATGTATTTATTGCTTACTAAGGTTATCGAAATAGATTAAACAAACCAACTGGCTTTTTTGGAAAAAACGCGTTAGTTCAACTCAAATCCTGATTTTAAGTTGTATATATATGATTAATAATTGTTTATACTCTGGTGGAGATTCACCAGAATAATCACGCCGGGACAGTAGGGTGGCTGTGCGAACGAGGGTGATGTGAATATGGACAATACACATCCCGGAAATCCCGCAACGTTGTTAGTAATTGGTAGGGCATTGAAACTTTCGGAGTCCAACACACCGGTACGTTGGATAACGTCGAAAAGTCTCCGCTGATAAACACTAGATAAGTTCACCTATCCAGTTGGATGGTATAAGGATGGCAAAATCTATACTGATGTGCAAAACTGAGGATTGAAGTGAAGTCCACCAATCGTGCACAAAGTGCTGCTGTGTCTCAAATACCAGAAAACTGACGTGAAGATCCTGGAAAACTCGAGCGTGTAATTGGCATCTGTATTTGCTTGGAAGCTACCGAGGATAACAGACTGAAGCAGTTTGTTTTGTTTTGCGCAGCTGAGATAGGTTTTTGCCTCATGCCATTCTTGTCGAAGGGAAGTTCACGTTCAAAAGTCACGTTCCGACTTGCGCAGATCCACACCTTGTTTGGAACACGCTACCTCTGAAAACACAGTAAAGTGCTTGGTTATCCATGTGCAGCGTAAGTAAATGACATCAAAGAAGACGTATCCAGAAATGAAAGTTATCTATGATCACTCTGTATCTGTAACGGCGAACGACGTGGGATTTCTTTCACGTTTGATTGATAAACAGGTCTCAGCCGAAGAAGAGGCATCAATATGTAATATTACAACAGTTCTGTAAAGTGTAGTTCAGTAGAAGATTTTCAGGTCTTGACAATACGGAACATTTTTCGTCCAGTTGAAGGATAAGGCACCTACATAGAGGTAACTCTAAAATGAAGAGAAAAACGGTCTTCATACCTTGCTGAGGCTTTTATGTAGACTTTCCAAACTCTTGCAAAAATCAAAACAAATTAGCGAAACACTATTTTATGTCTGAAATTTGTGTAAGTTAGTAGATCTGTTTATCACTGATCGAAGTGATAGGACGAATGCATGTAGTAAAGTGGCCGCGATAAGTTTATGCACGTCATGCCTACATGCGTTGAGTGTTGCGTCAAACGATGGCTGAAATTACTTTGGAGCAAGACGGAATGCACTCATTTGCGAACAAATTTGGTTTTGCCGGAGATCCACCTGGAACCGAACTGTGTATTGTTGTCTTATGCTTCTGTTGTGCTCATTTTTCAGGTTTCAGTTCTCTATACCAGCTGATCGAAGTAACATCTCCTGGCTTTTGGGAGTGACTTCCAATGGAATTGATCATTTGATGAGCGCAGATCCCTCAATTTAACTCACAAAATAGGAGTAGTGGTAAAATAAAAATAGACGCTCCTAACGGCTTATTGATGTGTGTTCAATCACAATTCGTTTCATATCAACTTCTGTTGCCCAGAAAAAATTCAGTACACATTGAGGAAAAAATCCTAAAGCGATTGAACCAATTTCCAACAAGATGAGGGAAATTAGGTGCCACTATCTTTGACTGCAAGTCAATTGCTCAAGATAAAGCATAGTCGTGACTCGACTGTCTTTTTCATTCTCCCTTTACATTACTGTATTTTTCTGCTTCCGTGCATCAGCAATGGCTACTCACTAGAAACCTGTGTCTGTCATCAGCACGCTTTAAAGCAACTCATGGCTCATCCTCGTAGTGAACGCTTGGTTCGTCTGTGCCTCAAATATGTCAGTTTTTCGTTTTTTTTTCAAAATTGCATTGCAATGAAACAGTCATTTCCAGATCACCGCAGCTTTCTTTAAATAAATACTTGAATCCAATTAATAATACAGGCGTAGATATAAGTCCCAATTGTCCAGTATTTTTGCGCTAGACTGATGAGCTTTTGACAAACAGCGTTTCAGGTTTTGCACTGTCATTGGTTATGGCAGATGCACCGTTGGAATGCGGCCGAATGGATCAATTGCGCTGAATCACTTTATTAAATCTCTGACAATCTATCTACTGGGACGGAGGAATATTAGTTGAAATTAGGTCAAAACGATACCAAGAAAAAGAAATCAACGAGCTCCAAAAAAGTAGACTAGGTTGAACCGGTCATAATTCCCAAGGATATTGACCGATATTCTAGTGCAAGAAAACCGAAAAAACATTTCTTCGGTTAATCAAATGCAAAGTTACTACCATTTTAATTCTCAGCCATAAAATAATTCAATGTGAAGAGTTTTGTGCAGACGTTTTGTGGGAAAACTACTTCAGGGTTATTCTTGTTGACCGGTCTTGCATAAACGAAGCTTAACTAGTCTTGTTTGTTTTCTACTTCAACCAGTCATTCGGTTTGGTGGACGCAAATCGGTAACCAAAATCTTCAGTTTGAAATCGGACTGCACAATGGAGAACGAAACCATCGGTCTTTATGTCTGTTCCACACCAGACTTGATGGGCTACCCATTCACAAATGCCACGATCGATGCGAAGGGACTGGTGCGCGTTCATATTTTTGGAATGTTGTGTAAGTCTGCCAAGTGTAAAATATGGCAAGGGTAATCGAGCACTCTGAATATTCAAGGATAATTTCAATTGTTCCATGTTCATCTCCTGAGATGTTTACTTTTGTCACTTGAGCTGAAGGTTCGGTAAAGCATAAGTTGTTGCGCAAGCACTTTTTGTATCACCCGGTATGGTGACAGGAATTAATTTTTTGAGGAAATCATCACAGCAGCAACCCAGTATCTATATTTTTAGCAAGTAGCACGCATTAATAGGGCAACGAAAATATCCTGTCTCACATACTCACTATTCTAATATGCATTCTTTTGTTCAGTATTTCTGTCAGTGGGTTTTCGACTAGATTGTGTGTTACAACAAGAAAGCCCCTTTTAACAAATTTACTGATCAGTAGTACTTTTTGTTTACAGGATTAGTTGAAGTCCGTTAGATTGAGACATGGGAATCAGACTAGGGTTCAGATATACAGTGCGATGAAACGAATGCTCCACGGCCACCTAGCATGTCTGACAAACATCAGTCCACGAGCTCACACCGCAGTGTTTGTAATAAACATGGTTTATAGGTACGATATCTGTAAAGGATAGCGTATCGTATATGCTTGTCAAAATGACGTCAGATACTTCAGCGCTTCGAGGACTGTCACATTAATTCGTTTTACGCACATATGTATATTCAAATGGATCGATTTAGACTAACCGAACGCTGTGATTCATATTACTGTTAAACATGGTGTCTTTTTACTAAATTTCTTGCGCCGTTTTTTGAAATCCACCAGCTTCACTATTTTGTGCATCATAGCTTCAGACATCTACGTACGTATGCAGACAAACGCACTGTGTACCCTCGTTCAGGATTTGTATTCCAAACATCAGTTTTACAACCTAACGCTTCGGTGGGCAGTGATTTCGAATGGAGTGATTCTCCATACTTTACTCATTTAGCGAATAAAAACTCCTCAGAATTCTATTTTTCCCTGGACGATGCGCCTTAAAAATAACCTGAATGTTGTTGATCGTTGTTCTTTACTCGAAAACCCGAAATTTTCTCTAGGTTCCAAGGATAATTTTTTTCATCCGATGGGACAGTTCATACTGGCCCTCGGAGTGTAGACTTTATTAGAGCCGTTTTGGTTTCGTATATTGTTTGTGACGGGGCAATATCCTTTATTTCTGGCGAAATAAATGTCTGCTTGTTTTACAGTTTACCCTCATCGCATCACAAACACATTTGTGAGGTTATTGCTGGTTTGTTTGGCTAGTTTCCTTACTCTGTGATTTACGCAGTAGTTTCGAGTTGGTCAGAATGTAAACGCCAGGTGAAAAATAACACTGGGATTAATTAGTACATATAGTTTTCGTTGGCCACTCCATGTGAGGGACAAAAAGCACAACGGTGAGGATTTCTTTCATGGGTCTTTGGGAGATGCCCATGTTTTTGTTAAAGCTGTTGGAATTTGGTTGTACCTGAAACTGTGTCTGAATATTTGATGCATATGGAATTGTATTGATAAGGCGGCTAAGTTGAATGTAAAGGTTATCAACATATCTTCACATTTTGTTATGATGGAAACTGCGGAACGCTCATCTCATTGTCAGCTGTTCTTCTCCTGGTTGAGGTGTTAGTGCCTTAGTCAAGGAGAAGAGATAATATTGACTGCTGCTGCAGTAGGTGTCTGAATACACCGGAAAAATGACACGTGTTGGTCTTACGTTTACACGATTACAGCGTCCAGTTAGAAAGATAAAACCCAAAAGATTTTGGTAACTTTTATTTTTATAGCAAGATTTAACTGTGTGGTTCTCAAGCGGAATCACTAAGCAAGTTATGGGATTTTGAAGCCGCCGGAATGGATGGTCGGTAATACACTGATACGAATACTTGATGCAACATGATGCAACCCCGGTAATAACGGTCATTTCAGTTTCCCACAAAGTGTCCTCATCTCACCAACGGGCTGGTGTTCCCAGGAATTTTCAAAATACTTCTTGGACCAGTAGGGTAAACCGCTTATTAGGGTGAGGCCAATTTCGCGGGTAGTTGCTAGAGACCAAATGGTAACAACTCTCATTGAGACGTGCACTTAAAATAGTCCCTTGTAAGAGTGAAACAGTTTTACAGTTCCTCACGACTTTTCTGCGTAGACTGACTTTGCTTACGGGACGGCAACCGGAATATAATTCTGTTTGCATCCCTCCCAATGAGAGCTCTTTTAGATCTGTGATAATTGTTCGGAGTGCTGTAGAGTGAACATATTGTTGACCAAGTTAAATGCCCAACACTAAGTTTCTGTGATTCAAGGTGTTGGGCACATACCAGACAATGCCTGAAATATAATGGTGATGAGTTTTCACTCATGGTAATGTTTATGCTATTTTTCTTCGACACAGTGACAAACACCGTCAACCTGACCAAAACATTCGGTTTCAACTATGTCTTAAAGCAATGGCTCCTACCCTGTACTTACTGTCATTCAATAAATCACTGCAAAGCTGTACTAAGTTACAGGAGCAATTAGGGGCTGTTGAAAAATTCTATGCGGAAACTAGGAAGCTCAAAAGGATGCCCGGCATAATATTCGCTTTTGTAATTGTGGGAGAATGAAGCCGTTGAAAATAGATATATCCGACATTGCTAATGAAATTTGTGTAAGGTAAAATACAGAATGTCTCCTGAACGAAATTTTTCCGACATGAGGATGCTTTATTCAGGTGGATGTCAGAGATAAACGGTTTGGTCCATTTGTTTTCACTGATCAGTGTTTAGAAAAAAATGAGGCGAACAACGGAAGCACTATTATTAGTCAACAGGAAATGTTTTTAGTATATGAACATTAATGCCCGAAATGTTTGCTGAACTTGACAATTTGGTTGCCAATTTTAGACACTGATCAAGGTGACACCGTCGGTGTTTATTTGTGTAGGCCTACATACCGACACACGGCTGTACAAAGAAGCACATCTATCAGAGAGGTGTTTTCAGAATACCGCAAAGGTTGACGAGCAGTTCATCTCTGGATACTACTGATGAGGCATGCGAGTAACATGTTGTTTACTCGTAACTCCGCTTTGATCTTACGGGAGGTGGGATTTATTACGGAATTTGTGGAGCTGCTTTGCAGCATTCGCTTACAACTGCGTGATAGTCAACGAATATCCAGGAACTTTTAGGAAGACGGGTTCAAGAAGAAGACGGACATTCAGTTTTCAAAAACACATGCATGAGAATTTTGCTTTACTCTCCAATAGTCTGTAACTGTTCTGTTGGTCTTCCTGATAAAACTCCGCACCGAAGGGCCTTCCTCATTTAATCAGTTCTACGAGTAAAGCTGCCGAAACTGCCAGCTGTATTCAGCTGTAGAAATGTCGGAGTATCACACTTGGTGCCACGAAATGCAGCGTTAGTGTTACGTCTCTCTAGACTCAAACCAAACAAGATCGCAAAGACCTCCTCAATGGTTAAGAGTTCAAAGTTAAATTTTCGCCTTATAATTTTTCATTGCTAGAAATGTGAATGACGATGGCCACTGTTCTTTTTTAGGAACGCACATCACCATAGAAATCACGTTTTGTCATTTGCTTGCTTTCCCCTGATGATTTCCTCAGCCAACAGTGTGTGAATGTGGTGCTTATTTATGGAAGTTACAGACAGGTTTAAAGTTACCTTACCCCTTGCTGACTGCATTCTCTTCCTCTGGAACGTCTATGTGAACAAGCCATGTATGCGTTTACCAAACAGAGATTAGTAAACTAATAACCTATCACAAAGTAGGAGTTGCCAGCAAAGCATAAATGGCGTTACAAATCTGTCCCATTAGAAATGTGCGAGTAGTATTGTGGGGAAAGCAGTGATGAGGTCTGCTTTGTGTGTATGCTGTTTACAATCACTCAGTCCTCTTAAACAGAAGATGTCATGGGGAGTTACATCAAATTAAGTGTGTATCTGCAATCATATCAGCAACCAAAAATAAAAGCTGATAAAACTAGGTGTTTGTGCGAAAATAATAAATAGTTGTTTTTAATCACGGTTTTCTCGCTCTGGGAAGATCAGAGCAAGAGACTGCTCTCAGTTGGTCCCTTCAGTAACGTTCTTCTTACAAAATACATCATTTTGCTTAAGGGTCAACTTGTTACCAGGAATACGACTGCAATGGATTTTTGAAGGTTAACTGTATAATATACACGGATTTATAGCCATATATTTTACATCTACTGATAGCTTCAGTTGATTTCATCTGTTTTGCTGTATGTTGCGCCATAGGAAACATGATTGAAACTGCAATTTTTCATTACCGATCTAGCCAACATCTACGCTTTTACCCCTTTTGACAGTAGACACGTTTCTGCTTGGTATGCTCTGTGGAACATTGCAAAGTGCTTAGAGCTCACAGGGTTTCTCATCAGGCGATAAGTTGTAGGATATTGAGTAACTTTTGAGCCTTGTGGGGCGTATTTTCGTCGATTGGGACAATGATGTATTCTAATCAGTGTGCTTGCCTCCAAATAAAAGAAATTTTAAGTTTTTATTTAGCCACAAACTGAAGGATCAATTCAAGGTGGGGTGGGTGCATTTTGGCGTTATGGCAACAACTACCGTGATTTTTCCGTTAGCTTACTAGTAGCTTAACTGTCCGGCTGAATTGTCGTAGTGTTTATATTGATTTTAGTGTATACGGTTCCTGCAACTAAACGCACGCCTCTACTCCAGTGCGGTTGCGATTTCATGGTAGTGTGTGTTGAGTGATTGGGCAGAACGTAGCCATTGGACATGTAGAATCCTGCAAAATTTCGTGGCCTTTTTAGAGTTTAACCTCAGCATATCACCAGAACACCGGAATACTCGGGTATATGAATTTTAGGCATCCTCATTTAAGTCTAATTAACAATTATTGTAAAGAACAACGCGAAACCATCCATACACTAAGGAGGAAGTGTAGCCTGATTTAACCGAAGGAACTACACTAAAAGTAGTTTGGACCAGGTGCGTAAGGCGAGACTCTCCTTT